CTAATATATGACTTTAGGACAACGCCGAACTACTGGTTATGCTCAAGACGTTAGAGGATCATTTTGCGAAGCGTCCTAACAATGAAACCAGGTTGCGGAACGTCAGAATAACATCAATCGTTCCTGTAGACGTCAGAGAGATTGTTGTTGAGGTGGGGACTGTTTTCTAACCCCATTTTGGTAAAATGATCAAACGAACATGTTCAGATCAAAATGGGAGCTCCACAAGATGTGCAATTTGTGCCTCACATGAAGCTGGTCCTGGTGTTTCTCAATAGTGAACTCGCTTTGATTCGTATTGGGGCTCCAAAAGAAAAACTGTGGTCCAAGGTATGGAACTTAGAAATACATACTCAGTATCTACGAGTTTCCTAGCGCCTGGAATAGATACATCCACATTATCGACTGGCTTCACCAATAACTGGGGTGATCGATTACATTCTAAGATAGAACTACATTTTTAAGTAAAGATTCTGGCACATTGATACCGAATTAATCAAAGCTTTTTACCTCTCTCTTTTTTTTTTGTTTTGTGATTGATGAACCGTGCGTTAACTGCTGAAACCTAGAAAAACAGGAAAAAAAGTTAAGATCGATACGATGACGTATTTCAAATCCCTCTTTTGCATTTCTTCTCGCAGTTTTATTACAAATTTGCTTATTACTTCCTCGAATTATTTGTTTGTAATTGCTTCGGAGCAAAGTATAATAGTAACAGTAGTAATAATTAATAATAACACAAGCAGTGGTAATAATAAGTAATATTAATGGTTATGATAATAATAATACCATCATCAGCTATTAGTATCATTTGAGCAGAGCTGATGTAGTAGCAAGTGGCACAATCACACATGGTTCAGGAAGGATGAACGCTCGGATCGCTTAGGTTAACTGAGCCTTCCATCCCTCCAGACTCGATTGATTGGTGCTTTACTCGTTTGGGAAAATGAAAAGAGCTATCAAATCAGTACTTCTCTCAGAGTAGTCTGCTACCAAAGAGTGGGCTACATACGCTACCACGTTAAGAAGCGCTGCATCTATTTTGAATGGAAGTCGAATTCGGGGCGCGTTCCAAAAGCAGGATTGATTGATGCCAAAAGGCTATATTCTTGTATACTGGATTGTACGTTATATTACTAGAAATAAGTTATTCTGTATATTACTATTATTATTATCACTAAAACTGAATTACGTAAATAATTTCACTCAAATTTGTTAGAAGACGTCAGTTTGCCAAAATACGGAGTGCTCAGTACAGGCATGTTTTGTAAGCTTTGGAATCTTTAAAATGAATGGGATCGATCTCCGCGGTGCTATCGGTTAGTATTTCATCTGGTCCCCTCCGCATTTAATGCCATATGTTGGGCCAGCGAGAGCTTTCGCACCGGTGGATTCTGCCAGTAAACAATCAATATGTTTGTTCTCTAACTACTTGCCAGTTCCTCAGCTTGGTGATTCAAAAGCTAAAACGTTTTTCTAGTTGTTTCTTCAGGATAGTGACTCTGAGTCAAAGTATGAGGTGTTCCGGAAAATAAGTCGAGTAGTAGCGTGCATTGTGCTTGCGAAGCATAACCTGAAGAAAATACCGTGAGTTTCGCGTGATTGAGTTGCTTAACAATAATATTGCTTAAGCATTTCCTCGTAATTTTTAAAGTCTCTTGAATTTTAGAACTGAGTCACTATTCATTTCGATCGTTTCCTTCATCCAACGTTTCACAAAGTGTTTCTATTCGAAATGTGCCGTTTGTCGGTGAGTTTACCAATTTTGAGATATCATTCGGGTGTGGTATATAATGTTGCCTAACGAAAGATCAGAACTCAGGTGAGATAAACAACTATAGTAGAATAAATTAAACGTTGCACCATCGGTGCTAATCCTTCCATTTGAGTGCTGTCGCTTTCGGATCCATTTTTACCCATTTCATTCGTTTTAGTTTCGATTTCTAGTTACCAATTTGCGATCGAATCTTTCACTACGACCCTTTCTTCTATTCACGAAGTTTCGAATTATTGACTTTTTTGTATTAGAATTACTTCGATACTTCAGGCATCTATGCAACGTGCCACATTTTCACCTATAATTTCGCGCTTTAAATCGCAGACTTCGGTTCGCTTTGTCCTGCTTAGGGTATTTTTAAAACTAATTGACTTTGTCACTTGTGTCGTTGAAGGCTTTGAGAGGATCAAGCATTTTCAGCGGGGAAAGATGGGTTTTCGCGCATTTTTGTTCGTAATGTTCAGAAGGGAAAAGTAATAGTGGATCAACTTGTTTAAAATCAGTCATCGTCACAATGGTTTGGGTAGTTTCTACTGTAATCCTAAAATTACTTCTACTTCTTTCAATTTTTGTGAATTTGCATTTTACCTCTTCTTCGTTTGAGTTAAGCTGTCCACTAGAGCCTAAGGAGCCCAATGGGAAGTGTGACTTGCCCCCTGGGTTTACATGTAGGATAGGGTTGGGATGTGATTTCAAGTGCATAAGGGGTACTTTTAAAAACTGGTAAACGAATTCGCTCTTTGCAGTAAAACCATGCGCGATTTCCTCCCACCGATCGTCATTAAGCCATATCGACTTGATACCGTATTTATTCACGAAGATTGCGCATTGGATTCGAGTGAATATGAAGGCTGAATGTTTCCTTGTTCTCGTTCGGTTCGAAATGCCAATTATCCTTTCTTCAGTACGACAATGCCATCCACTTAATAACCCTTCTAGATGTACGGTAACCATTTAATCCTATTTGGAATGATTTTTGTTGCCGAAATAACATTATCGGTCGTTGATGACTACTTGCATATCTTGATTTCTTTATCTAACGTTTCTTTTTTTTCTAATGTCCTTGTTATAGTTTGTTGAAGATTCCTGCTTTTTCGTTAACCCCGCCGAGCATTCTCACACTACATCTTTTTTGAATTGATGTGAATATGAGAAATTGCCTCGTGACACCTGCTTGGGAGTACTGTTTTTTTTCTTTGTAGAGTTATTGTAGATCTCTAAGTGATCTCGTTTTCCGTTTTCTAAGTTTTCAAAACCGGTTTTCTTCACTGGTGAGATTTTTCGAGTTTTTGTTGTGGATCTTATGAAGATTGTTGATTTCCTTGATATATTTCACCGATACTATTCACCACTCAGTCAAACTGAAGCTTTACAATTTTTTTGGTTCTGCCGTGTTATCCATTTTGTAATAAATATTTTACGCCTATTTCTCTGATCCCTCACGAAACGTCCCTCGACTAGCTGAACGCTTATTTTATAATATTTTGAGGATCCCTCACGAAACGTCCCTCGACTAGCTGAACGCTTATTTTATAATATTTTGAGGACGCGAAGATTACTGTTTTGATGGGTCTTTCTATCGCGAATTCGCAACTTTGTTCTATCTTTTTTTTCAATTTTGCTTGATCGAAATTGAATATATAAATGGCGAGATATAATTTTGTGACGACTGGATTTGCGTGCCGCTCAGCCTTTGTGCTCTTGACACAAAGCCCTTCTCATGCAAATACGATTCAGTCGCAATCAGCTGCTTTCCCATGTTCTATTCGTCCATTTTTCGTTTTTTCCTGGTCTATTTATTTCATTCATTGCTGCCTTCATCGAACAACTCTGTTAATTAATGAAACAAGTCGATCTCTGCATTGATAAGCTGACTTTGGGAAGATTACGGGCATTCACTCAGAAAGCCCTCTATGTATTTGTTCGAGAAGGAATCATGTTTCCACGCCTCTTTGCATTCCTTTGATAGTAAATGGGCCTGGGAAGGTTTCCAAAGCGATTGCTCCAGTTCGAACTTCTTGTTCCTCTTCTTTGTGTTATTTTTCTTGGAACAAATCTGCCTTCGGTAATATAGAATAAAATATCCTGATACTCTAATGGCATTTTCCGACTGCCCTTTCCAGCACCTTATTATCCAAACTAGTGTTTTTGATTGTTTCAATAACATGTTGTGGTGCTCAGTTCTCCTGCTAGGCTCTAATGCCCTACTACGGCATTGATTCCGGCTAACGGGTCGTGATTCCACAACTTGTCACCTGCCTTTACTCTATGTCTACTCTCTTCAATGTCCTCACAATCAATACGTTGCGGGAGGATGGAAGCATTTTTCAGCATAGAATCAGTCATACGCCCTCACTTCCCCGTAAACAAAGATTTGGCGAGGATTCAATGTCGAAAAAAAAGCATTTCGATTGAATAGCTAGCACATGTTTGCATTTACAACTTTAAGTTAGAAATTCGAGGAAATGCTGCAAATCTGTCCTATCTGAAGGGAATGGGGGCTAAGCGAGCATGATTGAAATTGAATTCCTTTGTTGGGAGCTATCCATTAGGTATGCTAATTCGTACCGATCATTGGTTCTTCTCGCTGCTAAATGAGCCATCCAATTTCCCACCCTGTCAAAGAGCTGCCTGTCGCGTTCACACTTATTTTGTTGAGGAGTCGTTAGCCCCTAGCCCTCCGCTCCTCTCTCACTAAAGCTGACTGGACCTTGTAAGAAGTTTCTGTTTTTCAATTTATCTAGAATGAAATTTTTAGATTGCTGTTTTTTCTCGTATGGTGCTAAAGGATTTGAAGAGCTTACCTTTCCCATGTTCGCAATTATGCGTTTTTCCTCCATTCTGTAGTTCCTCCTACATGTGATGCCAGTAATTCTATGTTGTTCATGAGCTAATGCCGCTCTTCAAGTTGGGAGAATCGATAGTTCCGTCTTCTCGTTAGCGTTTTATGATCGTTATACGATGGGGTAAACTTTCATTTCGGAGGCAATCAAGAAATGTCGACGGGATTATATGTGCTACCTTTCCTGCTTGCAAACTGCTCGTATCTGCTTAACGATGGGATATCGCTTTATCCATATGCAAGCTGCAGAGCTCTGAATTTTTTCTGCGAAGTTTATCCTTCTGAAAATCTTCCCAGCGAGAGTTTCTCTGTCGTGTTCGATATGTTTGGATTTCTTAGCTTGTGTAGTTTCGATGAAAACTCAAATTCTGAGGAAATATCTTATTTATTTCTGAAGTTCTTCCTTTTTCTGTTCAGTTCTGTTTAAAAAAATCTGTTTAGAAAACTGTATTAAACTGTATTGCAGCAGGAGGATGAGCGTGCTTGCCTTTTCTCTCTATCAGTGAAGTTACTGCAGCGAATACGGTATTGCTGGGTTTACTTCGGGTTTTCGCTGCTGTTCCAAAGTTCTCACTCTCTTATTCTCTTTCTCTCTTTTTCTCTTTCTCACTCTCCTTCAGTCATTTATAGTAATCAGACAACGCTCTATATCGGAAGCATTTCTTAAAATGTTTTTGCAAATTGCAATGTTCTATGAAGCTACCCTTGGTCCTTGCCTGAACCTGTTCAGGCAGCTTTTTGGTAATTCAATGGGAAAGTGCCTTAAGTTTGTATTTTGAGTGTCGCTAAACGTCATTCTTGTTTAGATGCGCCGTGTTATTGCCTTTGCTCTATTTTTTTCTGCTCTGCTGAGACAGTTTATATGGATGCCAATGGTTATTCCATCTCGGAAAAATGTAAAAACATCGACTGGCATCTTTGCATCGATGAATGCTATGTATTCCGCTTAGTTTCGCGAGTTCTAGTTGTTATAATGAAAAAAGGAAACGGAAATGCACCTGTGGTATGCTGGCCGGTACTATGTATTACCAGTCGCGCATATGTAACAGCGCCCACTTTGCGAATGGAAATTTCTCACTGTGTCCTTTTTCCGTCGGGCCGAACTCACATAGAACTATTATAGAGTTCTAACTGGTTTCCTTAAATTAGGAAATTCTATTTCATTTTTTTTTGTATTTCTGTTGTTAAAAGAGTTTGGTGGGTAAGTAATCCACCTAATACCCATTTGAACAGTGAGTCAAACTCCTATCATGAATATGATAACCTGCCAGAGTTTATCTGGGCTTTGTATTTCTTCGACTGGTCAATTGGTGTCGCTAACTGGGCCTGGAGAATTAATGACTTCTTTACTTATTTGCTCTTTCTGGTGATTTCTTGGGAATTTTCAAAGATTCTAAGAGAAATCTCGTCGGAGGGAGCGTCGTAAGAAATGATTGCTCGCGTGGGAATACCTTTTGGTCGTTTTTCTGTATTCTGGGTCTACTAGTGAAAGTTTTCTCGAGTACTCCAATCAGAATCGCTGAGCCGAGAAGTTGAGAATTTTTATTTGTCCTTTTCCTTGAACCTTTTTCCGAATGGGCAAAAGTAGCACAAGATTGGTAGGTATAATTGAAACTATCATGTTCAAAATAAGGTTTAACAGAGGTTCCTCCAGGGTTGACAAATGAAAAAAAAGGTCTCCGCTTTACATCGTGCTTCACTTATTGTCTCCTGCGCTGTAGAGTTTAAAATCATGCCTCGCCTCGCTTCTAGCTCATATCGGTTAACTACACATCACTTCGACTAGCATGAAGCAGCGGTGGATATTTTCTGTTAACATGAAATCTTCTTTTTCTGGAGCTCTTGAGTCTATTGGATGTATTGACTCAGTTGATTACTGTGAAGCTGTCTGTTCCTAAAATAATTACAGTACAGCTCAAACAAAAAATACTCCATTCAATACATCATCACATCCGCATCCATTCTTCTCATTTCATCATTCAATCATTATCCTTCATTATTTAATCATCATCAGAAGTAATTCATTCATGACGCACATAGGTTTAGTATTGAATGAAAATGTTTCGGCTGATTTTGTAGTGCCTGGGTGTAGAAGATGTTGATTTGTAATTCATGAAAGGCATTCTTTGCATTTGGGGTTCATATAGTCAGAGCTACTGAGGTGGAAGGGAATGTTGTTGGCGAACATCAGCACGAGAAGCTGAAAAAGTCGCTTCTCCTCTCGCACCGAATGTCTTGACAAATAGGTTTGGGTCGAACTCCACATTTGGCTAATGGGTGGTCACTGCTAGGATTATCGGATGAATGCCATTTCCCATTTTTGGAAATTACGCAGAAAAGTAGAAAGAATGGGGATTCGGGCAAACCACTTTTCATTTTCGTGAATCATGCAAAAATGTAGAAGGAATTGAGATTCGAAGTCTTTTTCCAAGCGGTACATGTGGTAAACAGCTTGTTGCAATGTTTTTTTCGTCATTTTAGACCATTTGCCTGTTGTTTCTGGAATGGATGGTGGGACTGTAAACTTCGTGGAATGTGGTGCGTGACTCTTAGGCCAAGATTAAAAGATGGCGCAAGGACTTACCGCTCCCGCCACACTCATTGTTCGTGTCGAGTGTTCCGTCCCCTGAGTCGCAAATTGGCGCCTGCTTAGAAGCCCTTTTATTCGATCTCGTAATTCTTCTCACCTGAAACGAATGCTTTTACAGTGAATGATGGTAGTAATTAGGGAAGCGCTGTCGTTCATCGAATCTATCAGTTCAACCATCTCTCTTTCTGCCCTCTTACTCGAAAGCGGCACTTAGTACTAAACGCCTCCAATGGGTCTAATTTGGGTTCCTCATTCTTCCACTCGATTGAGAGCTGGGTTTGCCAGCTGGAGAAAATCGAGAAACGGATCCATTGATGTGTATAGTCCTGCTGTAAGGGGCATCAGAAATACCTACTAGTTAAAAAAGACTGTCGCTTTCATTTTCTATGGTTGTGAAATCCATTGTACGGACACACATTAATC